CCAGAACGCTGAGTCCCTGAGTCCCTGAGGCCAGAGGCCTAGGGGTCCAATCCCTGGCTCTCCGTTCCACGTGCTATGTGCAGACTGAGGGGGTGCACCCCCCCTACCCCCTCAGGATGGCAAAACCAAACTGAGTGGAAACGCTTGCCACGTCATTTGTCAGCGTTTTCTGAAGCTTTGCCGCAAACAAGGGGGGTCTCACAAATCTTCCTCCAAAGCCTTGCCGCAAAGTAGAGGAGTCCACCCCTCTAAAACCGTAAAAGTAACAGAAAAGGAGGGACGGACGGGACGGCCCCGGATGCATGGGAAGAGGCGGCGTTTTTTTTTGGGTGTGGACGGAGAAGGGCTGTCCCACAAAAAAGAGCTCCCACAAAAACTGTGCCTTGTTTTTTTTTTTTTTTTTTTAAGGGCAATGGCCTTGAGGTATTATCATCCGACTAACCTGCCCAGGTAAATTCAATCTTGTGTCTATTCTGACAACGGTGGCCTTTTCAGCCCAGGGTGGCCTGATAGCCTTACGGTGGCCTGATAGCCTTCAGGGATCCCCCACTGGGGGGCACCGGCCAGGGGACAGCCGGTAGCAGAGGGACCGAGCATCATCTGAGTGGCCAGTCGCTGTGCCTCCCTGAGTACCCCTCCCCCTATGAACATCAGCAGAGACTGCTTTTCAATGCCAATTGGGGGGACCAACGGGCTATATCTAGGTGGCGGGCGCCAAGCATGCCCAGGAAGGTACATGAGGCCAATGGGAATTTGAACCCAAGCCCTCCTGAATGCCACTTTATCAACTGAGCTAGGCCGCTGGAGAGGGCACGGGTCCATTTCTTTTCCAAAATGCCGCAATCTTTTTCGTGTGCTCCCCAAGGCACACAACACTTTTCAAATTCAAAAAAAGAAAAAAAAAAAAAGAAAAAAAAAAAAAAAAGGCACACAACATCAATGTTTCCACAACGCAGCGTGATGCCGCCTGGCTGGCGGAGCAGCTCCCTATATCTGCGGAACCGGTGGACCCCACTGCTTTTCGGCAAAGCTTTGGAAGACGAAGAAGATTTGTGAGACCCCACTGCTCTGCGGCAAAGCTTTGGAAAACGCTGACAAATGACGTGGCAAGCTTCCACCAGGCAGTGGGATCCACCTCTCCTTTCTACTTACCGTAAGAATTGTGGGGTCAGAGTCATCAGACCCTTCGAGCTGCTGTGCATAAAGGCACGAACAGCGGGGCTGGAATGCAGAGCGGGTGATTCAGAGGTTGCTAACGCAGAGTGTGTCACCAATTCGTAGCCGAGATAGGAAGAGTAGGAAGGGGGCTTTTTTTTTAGGCACGCTGCCCGTGGAGAGGAGAGAGAGCACGGCTACACTTGCACGCCGGCACTCACTCGAGAGGGTAGCCTTCGTAGATGTGGAGGTGGTTGTAGAGGTTGCTGAAGAATTTGAAAACGAAGACTTCCTGCCGCTTGCCAGTAAGGAAGAAGAAGCTAGACGTCGAAGCTGATCACAATGGCGCAACGAGGGTTCCCACCAGTCCCCTCCGTTGCCACCATGGCGGCCCTGCTGTTGCTCACATTCCTAACGTCGGCTATCCATGGACAAGCTGCATCCCCAGAAGCGGGTACGGTCAAGATCTCGGGTTTCCAGTATGCAGGTGATGGCTGCCCGGCAGGGTCTGCGGAGGGGGCAGTATCGGATGACGGACAAGCAATCACTATGATGTTCAGCAAGTACACTGCGTCGACAGATGCTGGCTTGGACGGTCTGAGGAAGAAGTGCACGGTGACGGTCAATCTGAGTTATCCGCCAGGTTTCCGCTTCCACTTGGGGACGGTCACTATGCGCGGATACGCCAAGCTGGACGCGGGCACGAACGGGACCGCTCAGACCAGTTACTATATCTCCGGGCTACCAGGGACGGCAAAAGCCAACCGCGTCATCACCGGCAGTTTCAATGATAACTACGAGTTCACGGACCAGTTCGGTGTGCTAGTGTACAGCAAGTGCAACGTCGTCAGAGACCTCAACCTCAACTCCGAAGTGCGGGTGAATGCTGGGGACCCAGCGAAAAACGCCCTCATGACGGTGGACTCTCAGGATCTCAAGCTAACGCAGGAGTTCGCCATCATCTGGGAGTCGTGCTAAGCTCCGGACGGCGATCCAACATCGTCAGCTTTCCAGCTTGCCAACGGCTAAGTTTGGCCGTAGGCCATATTCACACCAGGGAGATCCTTGGCGGAATGTGCATGCGGTGATGGAGTCCCAGTGTGGATATGGCCCTCGAATGGATAGGCGAAGGAATGCCCGGAGGACTCAGAAGTATCCCCTCGCTGGCTGGCCCGAGGAACTGCGGAGAAGAGCGTGAGGTTATGGGGGACCAGCACTGAGGGGGAAACAAGAGGTGACAGTGGCTCCGTAATAGGATGGCCAATGGAATCTGTGTGAAATGACGAGGATCCGTACTGACCATCTGTTTATATCAGGACATCTCTTCTTATCAAAACTCTCTGATTGCATTTGTAAGTTTTTGTATTACTGCATAGTCGTAGCTGTGGGAGGTAATCAAGCAGTAGAATGTCCACTGAGTCTACGGACCTTCCGTCAGTGATGCGGGAGTACGGACGTCCCAGACAGCTTAGACGAAGCATCTCTCTCTCTCTCTCTCTCTCTCTCTCTCTCTCTCTCTCTCTCTCTCCCCCTCCCCCTCGGACAGCTGATGCCGGAGACCACCTTTATCTTTTTCTTCTTGGTGTTGCCGAAATATTGACGTCCGGGAAAAAGAGGAGGGAGTTTTCAATGACTTAGTGGTATCATATTGTGTAAGGATTTTGAATTTCGCGGAATGAGATCTTGGTCAAGGTACTGAGCTCGTGTGCTCTAAGGGCGCTGCTTTAATTTGTAACCTTTGTGCTTTACATGGTTACTCAATCCCTCAGTTTCTGTTTCAAACGAAATCTTATTTGTTGTCATGGGGAAAGACTTACCGACCTCTCGTTTTTCCGTTCTACCTTTTCTGTGCCCCCATTTTGTGAAGTGGACCCTTTTTTGGTTTGCGCATGTCATCCTGTTAATCCTCTTTGCTTTCCCGCTTGCATCGTCCAGGAACTTCCTTTGCCAATTTGCTCACTTGCTGAAAATCCCTCTCCTCGTCCAGGCCAACCACCCACCCTCCTGCTTTCCTCCGCCGTCCCCCGCCGCCTCCCGCAACCCCCCCCTCCACCCGAAGAAGAGTTCAAAATTGCCTTTTGGGAGTCGTCTCTCCCTTCTCCTACATAAGAGTTTGTCGCCATGCTTGATGGATCGTTCACATTGAGGAGCTGGTTTTCTCTGATCTCGTTTCTGTCTGTTTCATTTGTTGGGCGCGTGTTTTGCAATATTTCCCCCATCTCGTTCGTTTCTCTTTTCCTCGGCATTCTTGTCCGTTTTGCTTGTCGCTGGAAAAGACCCATTCACCCACTGGCATGCTTATGGATGAGATTTCACATACCTTGATTCTTCATTTCTCACCGTGGAGATCGCCACACAAAATTTAATCAACCATTACAGATATGACGAATCAAGGCAACCAGGACGGTCCCACTGCCGCTGTCTCCAAGCTGCCAGAGTGCCATTTGATCCTGACCGTTGATCTCGCTGATTTCCAGGTCGTAGTCGGCAATCAGCACAGCGGCTTCGGTAGCATACATGTAAGTTTCCATTTCACAAGAGAGGACAGCAGTCGGAGCTGGAACCTGAGTAACTGTTGTGGAGATGATAGATCACGCATCGGGCGATGGGTCTTGCGGAAAGTCTCTCTCGCAATCCAGGTGATTAATTAAAACGAGACTATGTGTCGAGATCTCCCAGTGGGCGCTTTCCACCAATGATCCCCTTTTTGTTCATGCTGATATCATAGACGGCACGTGACGTCGCCCCTGGCTGGGATTGCAACTCTTATGCACTCCGGGAAAGCATGAATTGTGCACACAGACGGCTGCGAACGCGAAATCCAACAAATCAGGAGCTCGAGAAACGGCAGCAAGATCCCACAGGTTTGTGGGATGGACCATTTCTCGAGCCCCGGTCGTTCAGATCCGTCCAGTCTGGAAATCTCGTGGTCGTACTTTGGCCGCTTCGACAAATGCTCGAGAACTAGGTGATCACGCTCCCAGTGAGTGGGACTTGGTTCCAGGGATGACTCTAGTGGTCCTTTGATCTGTTTCGTTTGTTGCGTCTCAATCAAGAGTTTTTTTCGTCATTATAGAAAGGAAAAAAGAAGAAGTATAAGAACAAGGAAAACCAGAAAAGAAGAAACGAGAGTAAACTGCATCCCCTGTTGACGAGCTGGTTTGGGTTGATGATCTCCCCACAATTTTTGCTCTACTCCAAAGCTATGTATCACCTGCGGCCGCCAGGTCAATCTCGGAGTGCGGTCGGGATCACGGCCGCAGCCCCTCTGGCGGCGGTTGGCTGCGGCCACGACTTTCAGGATTTTTTTTAGGGTTCAAAACATTCAAAAAAATAATAATAAAAAATCTAATGTTGTAGATGGTTTTGAGATCCACGTTGCGTTTTTTTTTTGTTTTTTTTTTTTGACTTCGGCTTTGAATTATACAAATTCAAAAACTAATCTTCGCAAAATCTGTTTATTTTATTTGTTTTGGTAAGAAAAACTATGGAACTTATTTGTTTTTATATTTCAAATTTGGTAAAGTTTTTGGATATGACGATAAGGCAAAAGTTGTCAAGTTTATTTTTCTGCATAACATATTGTTTTTCCAGAATTGATTGATTTTTATTTTTTTTTTCGCCTGGCCGCCGCCTCAGCGGCTTCATAGCTCCCAAGGGCCAAGGCTGCTGCTTGGCTAGCACAGCGAACGGATTAATCAACGGTTAGGATCGGACATTGCGTCCGGTGTCCGCTTAACGCAAAGCTTTTTTTCACTGCTCTTCCCCCTAAGTTTCTTCTTGCTTGTCCTGGATCAGGATGTTCACAAAAGGAAAGGATTGCTCTTGATTGCACAAACGATGCTCCTGCATCAACCTACACACAGAAAGACAAATCCAAATTACGGAAATCCAAATTACACGGCTAGAAGTCGTGAGTGCGCTAACAATACAGCTTGACTACATCTGCCCTCTCCCAGCATGCAGATTCGAATCATGCATAATTCCTGTGTTGGCATCACAAAGTTCAGCACAAGGTTCGAGCCAAACCAGATTCAAAATATGCTTGATTAATCAACGGTTAGGATCCGATTCGGACATCGCGTTCCTTGATCATGTGTTCGAGAACCCAACCAGAAGAATAAGCCAAGCACTTATTTTTTTGGAACGAGTACAAACGCAGCAGGTTTTGAATTTGCAAGGCAAAAAAAAGCAGGTGCCTTCCTCTTTGGTTGTTTTCGTTTTTTTCTTTTTTTGGTTGTTTTCTTAGGGCATAGGGGCTCGCCACACAGCCTTTCAAACGAAGGCCTTTTCCGAAAGGTGTCAGACGTTTTTGAAAGGATGCTCGTGGAAAGGAACCCCCCGCCTCGCCACACATACTTTCTAAACACAGAGGCCTTTCTATATGCACATAATGGGCGGGCTCCACCGCTCTCGACGCGTGTAAAACAAGAGCGCGTGTAAAACAAGAGCGCGTGTAAAACAAGAGTGTGAATCTTTGGCTAGAACACGGAAAGATACACCACCATAATTAAGAGTAGTGGAGCCAGGGCCTCGTAATAGCCCCTTTTTATTCCTTGTTTTTTTTGCCAATCAGCCGTTTCGAGTGGGCCTTTTGACAAAACCAGTCGGGGTCTTTTGAGGAAACGCTCGTGACAGGCGGGAGGATCTCATCTCTTTGAAATGACTTTTGACGCCGGCCAATCTGACACCTTTCAAAACTTTTTCGAAAGAACTTTCCGAAAGCCTGTATGGCGAGCCCCATATGCACACCGCGTCCCATATTCCCAAAATCACTAAAAAAGACTCCGACTGCCGGTCATATAGGGCCTTGCTGCACTACTGTCCACTGTACAAAATTGTGGACAGTTCGTGGACAGCTATGGGAGTGTACACAAATTGTGGAAAAGCGGCATCCACTTGCTGTACACTATACAACTCCGGAATTCGAGAGTTCGCTACGAGACACCGGCGCAGCAGTACAAGACAGCCTCGACAGCTGGGAGTGCAGGGTGGGAGTGTACAAAAGGCTGTCCAGGCTCCAGGCTCGCTGTCCAAAACGGCGGAGCGTCGTGGGTTCCTAGGGGAACCGTCCACGAAACGACTTGTGCAGGCTGGGAGTGTACAAAAGGCTGGGAGTGTACAAAAGTGGACAGTCGATTTTCTCCGCTATGTGACCGATGTGAGTGTACAAAAGGCTGGGAGTGTACAAAAATGGACAGTCGATTTTCTCCGCTATGTGACCGATGTCTGAAAACTGCGCAAGGAATTCCGCACATGGTTCGTGGACAGTAAGGGCCTCGCCACACTACTCCCAACTTTGAAAAAATTTTGGGAGTGCTCCCGGAAGTGAAAACCCACTCGGAAGTGCCTTTCACCACACTACTCTCTCCGCCCGGCCGCACTCCAAGTCTGAAAATGTCATTTGCCACATGTGGACACGCTCAGTGTGAAGCAGTCTGGCAGAAGTTGTTTGTTTCTTCCAGCTCCACTCCCAAATCTGGGATGAAACTCGGAGGTGCGAAGGAGGTCTCTCAAAAAGGCAGCTTTGCAGGCGGTGAGTTCGGGAGTGCTCTCAGGAGCCACATTCTGACAGCTCCCGAATTCAATCTGACAGGTTGAATTCGGGAGCTGGTGTGGGGATGCTGCGCTCCCGAAAATGGCCAAGTCGGAAGTAGTGTGGCGAGGCCCTAAGTGGAGCGGTGCCCGACTTTCCATTTTTTTACAGTGGACAGTAGTGGAGCGAGGCCCTATGGGTTCCCAGATCCCCAATCGCGATATTCATGTGGGCATGGGACTTTGCGGTCACCTCTGGAGGTGACAGCAGATGCCTATTTAATTTTTCAAGTTTTCTTTGAAAAAACTGGCCAAAATTCTTTCACAAAAGTTCATGCAAGATTCGGGCGTGAAGATTTGCCGAAGGCAAATAAAAAAATGCTAACAAAAAACACGAAATCTGCACAGTTTAGCCGTGGCCCTGTGTGACCAGAGAAGCACCAAATCCCCATTTCTCCACAAGGCAACAAACTTGTCCTATAAGTAATAGTAAAGCAGTGTGACCACTGGCATGCCTGAAACCACAAATCCCGGGGCCAAGTCCCACTAGCATGGGTTCGGGATTGATTACTAGACAAGTGTGGCTGTGACGCCCAACCTCACGCCCTGCGCGACTTCCCGATCGGAGTGGGATGGGGCCCCGGAAGTGCGAAAAATAGGGGTGTGCCAAGGATTTTATGAAAGTGGGGGTGGAGTCTCAGGTCAGAACTGAGATCCCCTATGGCAAGCTCTAGGGGTATTTATGCAAGATGGTAAGCGCAGATAACATCGGGCTTTCAGACCTCGGAGGATGGATCACCATCCTCGCGGATTTCATCGTCTGGGTGGGTCCCGTATTTGGTGCACCCGCGGGACGCTGTGGCCGTCGCACTGTCTGA